CGTGAACAGTCACTCAATATGTTAATCTCAAACCAGTTTTGGCTTAAGTGAAGATCATATTTTTATAAAGTACATCAAAACCAAAGATTCTGGGATTATGAGTATAACATTATATGTAAACAAGACCATATCTCCATGACAAATCTTCAATGAGTTGAAGTATCTTTTCTTAACACTCTATAAATTTTTCTTCACTTGTTACCTTCTTCTGCAATTGAGACATGCTGGCTGCATTCATACTAAGCCATAATGTAGTTTGTTTGGGGATTATTGTTTTGTGTGAAAACAGCCTCCTTGTCTGTAAATAATGTTTATGCCTTAGCATTATTTACTGATTAATTCACACAATATGTTAAGCCAACTCATGATTTTGGCTTGACATGCCGAGTTTATCCATTTGCTGAGTTTATAATCCATGTTTCATGGCTTACTATGATGTCTGAAACCAGCTATTTTAATTTCTTCAATCATGCAAAACAAACCCAATTTCTTTGAAGACAGCATAAGATTCAACAACATGAATGAAAGTATCATCTAAACTCCCATTAAATAAAACCTTAAAAATGGCACCAACCTCGTGCATATTTATTTATTTGCAGGGCTTATAGGTTACTTTAATCAGAACTGACTCTGAGTGTGGGATAGCATTGAGAAGAATGCTATCCCGTACTCAGCAATACTGAGCAATGGGATAGCACTGAGAAGAATCAGATGTAACTTCTCATTTACCAAAAAAAGTATAGGTGCACAGAACATTTACAATCCTAATCTCTAGAAAAAGTTAAACCTCTCTGACCACAGAATACTCAGATACTGTGCAATCACAAAAGTTTTTCTGCCTGCCAATGGTAATAAATAGTAGGAGTTTTCTATGTTCCAATTACTCTTTCCATTTTGGACCATGATGTGCTTCACATAGACTCAAGCTTTTCCTGTCCAGTTTGAAAACTGACGGTAAAGTTGATTTTAAGAATATATTCAGGGTTTTTTTGTTTGTATGTGTGAAAAGCAAAGAGCTAAAATATTCTACATAAAAATCCCTTGAAGCAAAACCAAAATTGTCCTATGAATATGATAAAAAATCCAGAATCTTACAAAAAGTGACCTGTCTCTGTAATTTCCTCAAAGCCTATTCCTATTCACATTTCAGAAAACTAAACAATGCTGTACTTTTTTGAAATGTTGATGTGCTCCAGGTCAAGCATAGGATTCACTGTTATTTTGAGAGATGCTGAAACTGGTTTTCCCATTTTCTACTTATTTTATGAAGTCTAGTTTTTACCTTCTCCAGTCTTTCAAAGTATTCCCGGAGGAAACCCATGGGTCTCTCAGGTCGCACTGTACAAAGCTGGACAATGCAATCTTTCAGGAGTTGCTGGATGTTATGTTTTTGGACATAGTGTTCACATTCACGGAGGCTACGTTCTTCTTCACTGCTGCTACTGCTAGAGGCTGCCATTGCTGGTATCTGAAAGAAAACATATTTGAAACACCCTAGCATCTTTCACAACTTTAGTGTACTAGTAGTGTACACTAAGCGTACTAGCCTTACATCCCTCAGCAATCATAACAGTCAAACACTAACTTATTTGCAGACATAGTAGCTGGTTATAAATAATGGGAAAAAGTCAGAAAAAAATTAAAGCAAAATTCAACCAAAGCCCATGTTCAATTATCTTAGGAATGTCAGATGCTAAGCTACTTCCAATAATGAATATGAGGGTAACATAATAAATTAAAGTGAAAATAAATGATTTCACAAATGTCAGCTCCCAAAAATTTGATTGGAAAGAAAACTGCCATAATTAAATTAAAATATTCATTAATGGATTTTCTAAAAAATAAAATTTTATGGAAATAAGAGTATTTTCCAGCTGATCACCACTTACTTGAGATGCAGTCAACAGCAACTATAGGTATGCACAGAATTTGTAAGAGACTGTTGATCCCAGTATCACCTTTCAAAACGGAAATAAGAAAGTGAATAGTTGGAACACCCCTAAGTCCTATTAATACATGCTTTCCTATGTGACATATTTAGATACACCACACATATGGTAATATGCTTACAGTTATAAACACATGCCTCTGATTTTCATTGCTGAGGATTATATGCAGGTTAAATAAAACATGAAGATGCTGAATTGCCTCCCCTCCAAAGACACTGCATTCTTGTTAATTCTTGCAGAGTCTAAAGGTTACAGTAAACTTTTTTCCTGTTTAAACAGCACACATATGTTTAGGTGGCATTTACAATCATATTGCCTTAAGTTCTACAGGATCAGTTAGCTCTTCTGTTTTGACAACTTGCATAATGAAGGTCAGTAATACACAGCTTAATTAAATGTCCACAAATTACTCTGTGGCTCTATGACAGCTTGCAAATTAGTCTGTGGAAAAAGCATTCACACTGTTGACACACAGCAGCGGACAACAGCGCTTAAGTGCAGTAACTGAAAAAGTAGATAAGAACTTTTTTTCTCAAGTATTTTGTGAGGCATGCTACTTAATTATACAGAAGTCATTCCATTTTTAGGTAGAATTTACTTTGAGAACAATGGCAACATATTTTTGCACACAGATACCCTCATCAACTGAAAATTCAGTTCTATAAACACCTTTATGTTTCTATCAGTATTTGCAATGTGAATTAAATGGATTCCAAGTAAAATCCTTCTAAATTCACTGCAATTAAAGTCTGCTTTCAGACAAAGAAAATTTGTTTCCTACATGAATCATGAGGGATAAAAAATGAACAAAAAAGAATCTAATGGCAATATGCAAAGATTCTAAGTGAGTGATAAAGGGAGCCCTCTGTTTTATTGAAATAATGCTGCACCCCTAAAGAATAGACTACTACAGAAGGACTCTACTAACTTTCAACAGTCTGAACCACTTAACTTGTTTTAATTTTATTTCATGTTAACTCCCTGTAATTCTCCTTAGGAAAAAAAGCAACTGGGAGATTACAAAATGCTTTCTTTCTGTTAAGAAGTAAGAGTTCATTCACCAAGACAGGAAAACCAAGAAATGCAAGAGATTATAAATTATGGACTATTTTAAACTTGGCAGTTTTTACTATGAGAAGAGTCTCTCATTTTAACCAAGGACTAGTCATTATTGTCAAAATAAGCAACCTGATACCCTTATGGGCTTTAAACTTCAATCTTCATCAGCCTTAGCCAGACTGGCCAGTGGTAAAATACAGAAGGAACTGTTGACAAAATCATCTGGAGGATTTCATGCTTTTTATTACCACATAAGAAAATGGTATAGGACCCTTTCCCCATACCCATAAGAAACCACCTTCTACAAAGTCAGGCAACTTGCAGAAGTTCTCTGGGTTTCAGATTATAATTCTACTGATTTTTCTATAGGAGATGGAACTTATACGTGCAAACATAGCTCAACATTAAGCACTCTGGAAAAACCCAACAAATAGTGACATTAAAACATGTAAAGTCAATCTCAACTCCTCGTGACTACATGGACATGTCCACCATGTTTTGACAACACTACTGAAGTGGTTTGCCATTGCCTTCTTCTGGGGTGTTCTTTTTTCAAGTTTCCAGTCTAGTCTCCAGCTCTGAGATTCTGATGGTTTCCTGTCCTAGTATAAGCCAGGTCCACTCCTGCTCGCTTAGCTTTCTTGAGATCAGATCAGCCAACGTTAACTAGGTCTGCAACTACAGTAACAACAAGTGGTAAACTGTGTAGTAAATAGCTTAGGGTTTGTTTTTAATATAATATGGCTTAGAGTTATCCTAAAACAAATAAATACACTGAAGACAGCAATCCAAGCTGTAGTTCACTCCACCTTTTAATGAGATCATTACTTTTTTTCTTTTCACATACACAACGTCTGTAGTAATAAATTCGATTCTCAACACAACCCTGCCTTCTTAGCTAAATACAAAGTTTGCCCCCAAATCAGAGGCCTGAGTGGCTTATTTTCAAAAAGGATCTTCCCTCCAACCAATCTATCAGTTAGTGGCAGAAGCACAGCCAACCCTTCCTCATTTCTGTCTCAAAGGTGACCAGTAAAAACCAGCCAGCCACTACTTCAAAGCAGGGCTTCGTCCCCAATTCCTTCTCGCTCTCTGCCTACGCGCCAGCATCTCCCAGGAGCCGCGCTGATGCTCCCTCCGCTACTCACTGCGATGCTCGCGTGCAGAGGCGCCGCTTGCTTTCTCCAGGTCCTCCTCCAAACCCAGGCAGGCACAACAGGGTACCCGCCAGCGCCATGCCCCGCCCCCCGGCAGCGTACTTTTGAGCGTCCCCCGCCCGAGCCCCTAACCTCGCCTCCACGACCCTCACATTTCTCCTCCTCCTCCTCCCCCCCGCCCGGCGGTTTTCACTGTGGCGAGATGTCCCTGGAGGAGTCAACGAAGGCCTCGGGCTCCTCGCGTCTCCCAGCGTACAAGCCGCCTCAGCTGAGCGCGCCATTTACCGGGCCTCGCGCTACCTACGTGCGGCTTCGGGAGCGACTCAGGCCCAGCCTCGACTCACCCCGGGTCCGAGCGGCAACTCCCTGCCTGGGCCTCTCCGCGATGGGCAGCCCCCTCCTCCTGTCCCGATTTGCGGCCTCCTTCTCTTTCTCAGCAATCGCTCCCACCGGAAACCCAGCTCTCTCCGCCAATCACCGCCCAGCCTGACGTCAATGAGGCTCGTTCTCACTTGCCGAACCGTCCCCGTGGCAACCTTAAAGGGGACGCGCTACGTTCTGTCCACGTCTCCTTCCCCCGCTCTACAGTAGCAGAGGCCAGAGAAGAAAGGCGGCGGCGGCGGCGGCGGCGGCGG